TGCCTATAAAAGCAAAACTCATTAGTTGTAAGTTGATCTTTAATAAAACAATATCATCCTGATGGATCTATAGAGAAGTAGAAGTATAAGGCAAACATAGTAGCAAAAGGTTTTACTAAAAAACCCAACATAGATTACTTTGATACTTTTGCCCCTATGACCAGGATTTCCTCTCTTCAAGTTTTGTTAGCCTTAGCAGCCATCCATAAGCTAGTGATACACCAAATGAATGTTAAAACTACATTTTTGAATGGTGATTTCGAGGAGGAAATTTATATAACTCAACCTAAAGGGTGTGTTGTACATGGTCAAGAGAATAAAGTTTGTAAACTTTTAAAATCTTTGTATGGGTTAAAACAAGCACCAAAATAGTGGCATGAAAAACTAGATAATGTATTGTTATGTGATGGTATTTCAAATAATGATGTTGATAAATGTGTGTACTTTAAATTTGAAACTGGTGATTGTGTCAATATATGTTTGTATGTGGATGACATGTTAATTTTTCGAACATGCAATGAGATTATTGCTAGAACTAAGTTGTTTCTAGGATTGAACTTTGAAATGAAAGACATGAGTGAAGTCAATGTAATTTTAGGTGTTAAAATCATAAGAAGGGAGATAATACATTATTATCCCAAAAACAATACATTGAGAAACTTCTTAAGAAGTTTGTGTTTTATGATTTTAAACCCGTGAGTACCCCTTATGATGCTAACTCTAAATTAATGAAAAATAGAGAAGAATCATTATCTCAGCCTTAGTATGGCCAAATAATTGGGAGCTTATGCACTTGATAAACTTTTCTGGTCATAATATTGCTTATGCAGTAGGTACACTCAATGTCCAAATCAATAAAATTGGGATGCACTTTTCATGCTTATGAGACACTTAAGAGGTTCAATGGATTATGCCATTGAATATAGTGGATTTTCCACTGTATTAGAAGGGTACAGTGATGTTAACAGGATCTCAGATTCAGATGAGACAAAATTCACTACTGGTTATGTATTCACACTTGGGGGTGGTGCAATTATATGGAGATCAACCAGACAAATAATTACTGCTAGATCAACAATAGAATCTAAATTTGTCGCTCTTGAGATGACTAGTAGTGAGGCTGAGTGGTTGAAACACTTCTTAGCAAACATTCCATTAAGAATGAAACCAACCCCATCAATGTCAATACACTATGATTGCCAATCAGCAATAGCTATAACTAAAAACAAGAATTACAATGGAAAGAATAGACATATCCAATCGAGACACAATTTGGTGAAACAACTGCTAAAGAGTGAAACTATTTCCATTGACTACGTGAAGTCAGAACGGAATCTAGTAGATCCTCTGATAAAACCCTTGGGAAGAAATATGATCTTAGAAACATCGAGGGGAATGAGACTTAAGCCACTAGTAAACAAACAAGTGATGGTAATCCAACCTTTGTGATTGGAGATCCCATGAATAAGGTTCATATGGGTAAAAACAAGTCACTTGTTAATTTTGATAAAATTAATTTGATTTTAAATCAAATATGTCCATTCCTATGGTATGTGTGAAAGTGCTAGAGACTGCATTATTGATAGGTTAAACTTTGTAATTAAACAAAGTTTTTAATGATCTTCATATCCCTTATGGGTGGTGTATGATTTGCAGCATACACTTGATGAAATCACCTATATGAGTGTGGGCCGTTTGCATGAGATCTTGGCATGATCTCTAGAGCACTCATGAATATCGAATACGCAACATGACCTAGTAAGTGCATCACAACGATAACAACAAAGATTGTGGGGGTGTATTGTGATTTATAAACCTCTAACACACTCAATTGTCTTTGGTTCATATAGCTTCCTATACCAACTACAATGTGTATTAAGTTTCTCGATCTAGGACTGGTTCATATAGCTTGCTATACTAGCTCTGATGCATTACATCTTATGAAACCCATGATATTTCTTCTCTATCTCTTTCGTTTTGTTTCTTTTTCAATATGTGGGGGATTGTTATAAACTTATATGTTTATTATATTGCAAAATAAATGTTTGACCAAGTTTTGCTTCTGTTTCACTTTTCCGCTAGCAACACTAATGTTGCAGAACTTTGCTTCCACAAGTTTCGAGATTTCTACGCACTACAGCTCAACCACCCATAAGTCTTAGGATATTTTCGTGTGCTTTGGACCTTGGGCCTTTTTCCCTTTGTTTTATTCTCTATAAATAGAGCCATTAATTTCATTCTAGATACACAAAAAAAAAACCAACGAGTTCTCTTTCTCTGACATCGTTGAGCTTCCACTCTCCCTTGCATAGATTTTTCCATAGCTTCTTTTCTAGTTTCTCTTTCTTCTCTTATCCTTGGTTTCACTCTATCTCTTTTTAGAGATCCCTACTAGTTCTGAGATCCTCAAAAATTCTGAGAAGTTCTTGTTGTATCTGAGGGGGCTTGCGCAATACACCGCGGATAAGTCCTTAAGGACAATGATCTACACATCTCAGGAAATCCTTTGTTCTTGATCTTTATTCTTTTATTGTCAAGTTCTATAACAGGTTCGAGTACAAGCTATCATAAGAAAGTTTGAATGTTTGAAGATGGATGAAAAAGAGGGGGTTACCAAGTTCATAACTCGGGTGCAAAAGGTGGCTAAAAAGCTCAGAATGAACGGAGAAGAAGTGACACTTAACCAAGTTGTATAAAAGATCTTGAGATCTTTGATAAATGATTTTGAAAGTATTAGGGTCATTCTTGAAGAAACAAAGGATCTGATAATTATCACGATGGATGAATTGGTTGGGTCTCTAAAGGCCCACACACTAAGGAAGAAGAAGAAGAAACCCGATGATCAAACACTACATGTAGATTGCAATGTGAATGAAACATAAAATGCTCAGGATTGAGGTTCTAGAGGTAGAAACCGTTGAGGTAGAAGTCAAGGAGGTCGTGGTTGGGGTGTTGTTGAAACTGGCACAAATCGGACTAGATAACAAAGTTGGCATGGCCGTGGTCGAGGAAGAGATCATAGAGGTCAATCTAAAGCAAGTGTGGAGTGCTTCAAATGTGGCAAACTTGATCACTATGAAAATGAATGCAAAATAGGAAGATGAGGAAGATATGGGAATTTTATTACTACAATTGTGGGAAGGTCGGTCACATAGAAAAATTTTGCCAAGTTGAAAGGAAAGGTGAAAAAAACCTTCTAATAGAGGAAGATGAGGAAGATATGCGAATTTTATTATTTTCGAAAAGCCTATATAGTTTTGACTAAGCTCTCAAAGGGGGTACATGAGCAAATTGAGTTGTTTGAGGAGATCGGGATGTCAGGTGAGAAGACTGGGCTATCAGGTGAAGAGACTAGGGTGGTTTATGCAGACACTAAATTGTGTGACATCGAGACCGAGTTTTCTGGAGCTCAGTAGATGAATTTAGTGTTGTTTGGAGCTGAGCTGAACAAAATCAAGGTGTGTGGAGGCAAGCTAAAGAAAACCAACTTGTCTAGAGCTTAACATGTGTATATCGTGGTGTCTAGAACCGAGCTGGCAAAAACCAAGTTGTTTGAAACAGAGTAGATGATGGTTGTGTGAAGAGAAGTTAAGATGTTGTACACTAATTTGTTAGGGAACGATAAAATGAGTCCCAAGTGGATTGAATTCGAGCAGGTGGGGGTTAAGTAATTGGGTGTTGAGTTGACAAAGAGCCCATGAAGGAGAATTAGAGCCTGCAGACAAAGGTGGAAAGCTCGACCAAAATATTACCGAACTCTAAACACTTTAGGCCAAGTTTCGGTAAGTCTATGCGAGGATAAGTCGAGCTATTCAAGAAACCTGTGATACAAAGTCCGAATTCAATGCAGAGAATTCTGACAAGATGCTTGAAGAGCTCAACGACAAGTGCGAACAACTCGGCAACGCAAGAAAGCAACTTGAAAATGCAGGTGGACATCTCGGTAGAGAAGGAGAACAAATTCGATGTTTGCAAGAACAACTCATTAATGATAAAGAAGAACTTAAAAGAGGAGATGGTGAACTCGGATGTAGTATCGTGCTTGAAATCAAAGGGTGTGGGTAATTTACCAACTTAGTATGATACTTGGACACTGGAGCTAACAATCATATGTGTGGAATTGAGGAATTCTTCTATGAAGTCACTAACATTGAGGTCAGATTCGTGTCATTTAGAGATAACTCTAGAGTTTTGTAAGAGGGTGTGGAACAATCTGAAACATACAGAAAGGTGAGTGAGTTGGAGAAATTAGGAATGTTTACTATGTTCCCTAACTAAAGAGCAATACTTTAAAAGTGTTAGTTAGTTGAAAAAGGTAACTCAATTTTAATGAAGAACCAGGTATTGTATTTGAATGATGAGAATGGTCATCTAACAATTCGGGTAGAAATGAAGAATAATCGAATGTATAAATTGGAGTTGAAGATTTTGTAGGAGAGGTGCTTGAAGCTAGACATGAAAGATGAAACAATGATATGATCATGTCACATTTCCGATCTGGACATCTTAATTTTGTAAGTCTAACTGAGATGTCAAGGAGAGAACTAATACTTGGACTACCCAATATAGAATTGGAGAAGAAATTTTTACAATGACAATAATAGAAGTAATAATTATTGTNCGCCACTGAATTATCGTGCAAGCTCTAGATCAACCAAACAATGTCGACGATAAGTTAAAGCAAAGGAGACCGGTTTACAGTATGCTAAATCTATACTGAATTAATGTTTACAAACTTAATATTGGTTGCGTCTTACTTTGCAAACTGACTTTTCAAAAATAACCCTCTTTCTTTTTCATTTTAAACTAAATTCCAAGGTTAGAATATGTTACAACCCCTTTTTTAATAGGATCCGGTTGAAGACCAAACAAGAGATTTTTCAGTTGTATGTCCGTGAACATACGTTGAGGTTTCTCGTAACAGAAAACCAAGCATGGGAACAAGTAGAAAGGAATACCAAATTTCAAGTAAACTATAAACTATGATCAACGTTAGTCCATAGACTAAAAAAGTAGTCCAGTTTTTTTCGTTTACTTCAAGCATGATCAACATTTCATTGTCATCAAATGGTCACTTTTGTTCCATCTGCAGAAAAAAAAAAAAAAAATAAAAAACAAACATGGTTGAGATAGAATGTTCGAGATAGTCTTCCAGACTAAATAACCAGACATTGATCGATATGTACATCAACTCCTGGCTTCTACAAAATTCTTAATTAAACCTTAAAGAACCATACTAAAAACTCGATTCTCTATTCCTCCTGACGCGGCCTACGCTCTAGTATACAATTATATATACTTGTCGACAAGGTTAAGAGCTATTTAAAAATGCTTTAACCTTTCTGAATTCACTTGGATATATGAGCACAGAATCTAAACAGAGCCCTCCTTTTGTATGAGTACAGTCAATTTGAGTCATAGAGAATTTAACTTTTGTTGATGCATTACCATTCTCGACAACAAAATCGCCTGCATGGTAAAAGGCCCATTTACCTGGTCCATTCAGAAAACACTGGGATGTAACATACTGGCCATCTGAAGTCCATAGCTGGAATCGAACAGGCTTTACATCCCACCCATGAACATGCTCTGTGTTGCAAACTCGCCGGCCAAATCTTTTGGAGGCTCGTCCTAGATGTATTCTGTAGAATATGCTGTATCTCCCAGCAGGAAACGGGAACTCAACATCTCCATCCACTTCAAACCACCAGATCTGCTGGAGGTACGCAACACTGTTGAATCTGCAAATCAAGGAGATAACATAGGTTTTACTCCAAGGTTCTATTAAACCAAATCAACAGTTAAACTATATTTATTTTGCAAATAAACTACTTGACAGAGATTGCAACTTGCATCATCAACCAAAATAACAATAGCAAATGAAGCATATCCTTCACAACATCACAAGTCAGAGAACAACTTTCAGCCAACACTAATCAATACCAAAAGCTACAATACATACCAGAACCATAATATATACACACAACCACCAATACAAAGACTCTGAACATGGAAAATATATACACATAACCACCAAATTTTCTAGGTGATAAATTATAAAACATGACCACATTATTGATACAGTAGTCATGAATTTAGATTGTGGTCTCAACTATAACTGCAACCACAGTACCAAGTTCTAAGGTTTTAGTTCTCTGCAACAGAAAAGACTCGTAAGATTTACACATGTCTGCAATATCCCACAACATTACAGTTTTTTAGATTGTGGCAACAACAGTAATTAAAAACCTTATACAATCTTACACAATCCCAGTTAGCCCACTTTATTTTATAGTTCACACAAAAAATTCTGGAAATGAATCATTTCATTGAACTCATCCCATGGTTGAAGTGATTGAATGATCCCAATGACTACAAAAGTGTAAAAGGAAGAGTTATATGTATATCACAGAATAAGAATGACTTTTAGCAAAAAATAGTGTCACTTTGAATAGTGTGGGTGTGTGTATACATATAAAGTCTCCATAACAGAGGGGGAAACACAAATATGCCATCAACTGTAATTATAAACTAAAAAGTCAGCAAAGTAAAGAATCACAATAAACAATGGAGAATGGAACACGAATAACAACATAAATACGGATGTTACTCATATCAGAACTTAGGTGTATGGTATAACATACTGGGAATTGAATTGATTGTAATTTTGAATACTTTTATATAACTTCCCGATTCCCAGGGTTTTTAAATTTAACACTCAAGATTATTTGGGGTTTCCTTAAGAATTGCTATGTCACGAGTTCTGAGAATCTAGGGTTCGCCTGATTGAGCAAGTGAAACATTGTAAGGTGGAAATAACTCAGGATGGTAATGATTATGAAGCAAACTAGCAATCCGGAGTGAAAAAGAGTTGACATTTGATTTTCCCCCTTTCCACGATCCAGTAGGACCAAACAGACCCCAACCCAATTCTATTTTCCCCCTCCAATTCCCCGTTTTCTTATCTATCATCCCATCACTAATTTTTCTCACCCCTCCTTCAAACAGCAAATCATAATTTGGAAGGCCAGCCTAATTAAAATATAAATCGATAAATAAAAAATAAAAAGGGACAAGTATTCCAATGCGTATAACTAGGAGAAGAAAAGTGACCTAGATTCCTCAGTGGGGATATGGTTCCAGTATCTTCTATCATCAATCCCGGTTATGGACAATCCCTTGGCCGAAACGCACAAACACAGCTTACCCGTGCTCCGATCCAGCCACACTTGTCTGCACAAAAACACAACTATCTCAACTCCACTTCCTCTCACATCAAACCACAAACCAATACACAATAAAAAAAAAATCAACACGGCTTATAATTATTAATTAATTAATTAATTAATTAATCAATTGATCCATTACCTTGGTGCCATCATCAAGAGAATTGAGTCTGCAAAGCCTGGCGTAAATCCCCCTCTTCCCCAAATGAGAGGGGAAATCATCGAAGATGCGGCGGAGGAGGACGGAGTAATTGGACGGCAGCTTGGACTCCCAGACGAAATCCGCGGAGGAAGCACCGCGGAAGGCACGATTGAGCGTAGCGAGCTTGCAAATCTCGGGAGGGTTCATGTAGGTCATGATCTCAGCCACGCAGCTCTCGGGCAACTCGCCCAAACCGTACTTGGGCGCCGATTCCGATGGCGGAGACGAGAATCGCAGACCCATCAATCAACGTTAAAGGAAAGGAGAAGGAGAATGGAAGCAGGGTGGCGAGTGGGTTGGCTTAGGGCGTTGGGTTTTCGACGGAGATGTCTCCGAGTTGGTGTGTAATTGCAATTGTAATTTGTAATTTGTAATTTGTAGCTGACTCGGTTCTGTGGGTTTGTTGGTTTGTTTGTTTATGCGAGACAGCGTGATCTGACTAGGACTTGACGAGAAGCATTTCACAGTTATCCACCACCCTCCTTCCTCTTCGCCCCGAAAATCCCTAACAATTACCTTAATCCCACCAAAACTTTTTAATATTCGGATAAGTTTTTTATTCATTTATTTTTCATTCAAATCAACATTAATGTTTACAGGTTTTCTTTGGTCAATTTTGCGGTAATTAATTTCAAATTGTCAACCGCGTCAATACCATTTCTTTTAATAACTTATCTTAATTACTACTTATTTCCCTTCCAATTGAAATTAAAATATTTTAAAGTCTTCAAGTTTTAGGACCTTCTAGAAAATAAAATGGAAATCCACATACGTTCTATAAATTTTGGCTACATTTTTTTCCATTTATAATATAAAAAATAATATAAGTAGACTTAAATAATTTGTTTGGTAACGTTCTAATTTGTATTAGTTTTGTTGAGTTTAATTTTTTTACTAATATGTTTAAATAGTTAATGATACCGTTTATATTGTGATTCATTATTATAAGGTGAATGTTTTTATTTTAGATATATTTCTTTCATTTTTTTTAATCACTTATTATTTTTTTTATTTTTTCTCCACTTTCGTTAGGGTACTGAAAATCTAAGTGTGAAATCTAAGTATTACATTAGACAAAAATGAGAAAGTAGAATAATATATAAAGATAAAAGATCCCATTAATCCATTACGTAAGATTTTGGATAAATAGTGGTGTCAATAACTTATGTGTTGGACTCAAATCTCATTGTTGTTGTGTTTTTTCGGTGAAATCTCTTCTTTGTTAAATCCAACAGTGATATCGAGCGATAATTTGTCTTGCTAGATGGGGGAGTATATCTACCTGAAAACACACCTAAACCTTAAATCAAGGATACAACTTAAGATACATACTTTCGAGTAACTTCTAATAAGGACACATCTTCACTTTCAATCACTTTTAATTATTATGATTAAATAAAATAGAATGTTGCAACTTGGATGATTTAAATTTGGTGTTAATGTTGAATGGATTTTTCATAAATGATTATGAACTCATATTTTTCTATTATACGTGGAAAATTGTGAGAACCTGAAAATCAATACATTTCTTGAGCTTCGAGACATTCCTTCATTTTTCCCAATTTTTCTCCTTTCATCCTAAATGCACAATCCCAAATCTTTTATAATTAGAGGAGGGTAAACAAAAAATTAAAATAATCTAATTACTACTACGAAGTAACAAAAATATTAAAAGAATCTAACTATTATTAGAGAGTAAACCAAATTTAAAATAATCTAATTATTACTTTTAAATTGATGATGTTGAATAAGTAATAAAATTTGTGGAGGTGAATGAGATTTTGAAATAGTGGTGAGGAAGGTGATAAAGATGTTATCTGTGAAGGTCAATACGTAGCGAAGGCAGTGACAAGAATGAATTAGATATGTAAGGGTGTCAAAGTAACAAAATGTTATATGGAGTAAGACGTAGATCACATTATATATTATACTATTAACTATTTAAACAATATTAATAAAAACACTAAATTAAATAAAATTACATAAAAATTGTGATTTTATTAACAGAAAACTGGAACCACAAAAAAAAAACACAAAAAACAAAAAAAAAAAACAAACAAAAAACCAAATCCAATAAAAACATTTAAGTCATATAATTATTATACATTATTTTAGTGATAAGAAGGTACAGAACAAAATAAACAGATAAAACATTTCAAAATATTAAATTCTGATGTTAAAGGATAATATAAAAATATTATTAACTGAATTAATTAGCTTATTTAATTCTCAAGGATATGTTTATTGTATTTAATTTAATTTAGATAGTGTTTTTGGACCAACTCACGAAAGGGAGAGTAAGTAATCGATATGTTTGGAACAGCAGTTTGCTCGGATTTCTGAAATGGAAATTGCAGGTGAAAGAGCACTTTTCATCCCTCATAAGAAGGAGATTGGCCTGATTCCACTGTGGATGGAGAGTAAGAATTCCAAATCTGCCTCTGTTTTTTTTTTTTTCTGTTTCCAAAGCTACCATTCCATACACAGATGTGATGTGGTGCTACTGTCTTGGCTTTTTCATTTAAAATTAAATACAATAAATTTAATAATGACAAAAATAAAGTGATTAATAATATTATTACTTTCTTTATAATATATATAATCAATTTTTATTATATATAATATAAATAATATATTAAAATAATCATAGTTATTATTATAATCATAATGATAATAATAATAATGTTTTTGTAATTTTAAATAACATTTTTATTTTCATTTTAACATGATTTTTATTATTTACGTTATATTTACTTTTAAAGATAATATTATAATCATTTAATTTTATCTATTAAAATAATTTTGTAATCAATTATACTAATCACATCATACATAAACTTTTATCTCAAATATATTCAAATCATATAATTTTTCTCTTAATCCAAACAACACTACAATTCTTTTTTTTATCCCTTCAAATTCATCCACTTTCTCTTTCTCAAATAATCTTTTTAATTCAAACACATCCTTAATAACAAACAAATGAGTAATAATTATAGAAATAAAAAAATAATCGCTAATACTTATTTCAATAAAAAAATATTAAAAAAGTTATGTTAAATATATTTCTTATTGACTGGCAATATACTTTTTCTTAACAATTCATATTTATCAACTAAAATAAGTAGGAAAAACTAAAATACTCTTTTTTATTAAGTTTAATGTCTGAGTCCTCTATTTTTGTTACGAATTTGAAATAAGTCCCTTTATTTTTTTGGCTTAATTGGTCTCTTATTTTTGTTAATTTGATGCAAATAATCATTTCCGTCAATCTCATCAAACGAGCATTTAATGAATGTGTGATTGGCCTTACCGCAATACTGTCTCAGTCCACTCACACATTCATTAATGCCGTTTGATAATTGACGGAAAGGAATTTATTTGCATCAAATTAACAAAAATAAGGACCCAATTGAGACGCCACAACATAAAGGGATTTATTTCAAATTCTAACAAAAATAGGGACCTATTGAGACATTAAACCTTTTATTAACATATTAGAGTTGTTAAGTGTTCATCATGTTACTTTTTTTTTTCTTGATGCATATGATTTAAATATTTATAAGTTTAAATATGTTTTAGTCCTAATTACCTCTTCGTTTTCTCTAAGTAAATTAGTCCTATTGTAAAACGTTGTTTAGTGAAAAGCTTTAATAAGAGGCCAAACAAAATTTTAAACTAACTTTTTAAAGAAGGACAAATTGTACCATTGAAAGGGAAAATAGAAACGCCTATTAGGACTAAAAACTTTTACGCTATTTATAGATTATACTTTGATAGACTTAAAGGAAAGGTTATCGGAAATAAGAAAAATTGACAGTGCAAATCACGTGTTAAGAAATTAAAAAAGGAGTTATACGAATATAGATAAAACGAAAGTAGGATTATCAAATTTTAAATGTTTTATAAATTTAAATATTTTAATTCAAACTTATATATTATTCAGTATTTAAAATTTTTTTGATTTACTTTATTTTTTGTTTGGATGACTAAAATCAAATTAATAGTTAAAAGAGTTATATGAATCACTAACAATTCTTATGTAGACTTTTAATGTGCATTCAATATACTTACACACATGTAACAACATGCTATTTAACATTAGTTGTAACTGTTTTAATGAGCGTGTGTTGTTTTTCGTGCAGTTGTTGCAATTTGTGAATTTTTAAGCCAAGAAATTAATTATGTTTGAACTTGAGTCCTTCGTAAGAGTAGTAGTTTATCTTCTTATTTTATTAGGAGTCATATTAGAGCATGATTGGGTAGCGATACTTGAGATTTTAATCGTTATTTTGGAATTTAAGTTTCGAGTTGTTTTTAATTATGATGCAACATAATTATGAGGACATGACATATGATGTGATATTGGTTGAATATTATTGTTTTGCTTTATTTAAACGACTTGTGACATTTAATTGCAATATGTAACATGTTTTTAAAAAAAAAAAAAAAAATTATTTCATGTCTAAGGAAATACGTATTCAAATTTTGGATCACAAATTTGGAATAATAGGTTAATCATGACTTAGTGCATGTGTTAAACAAATAATTATATTATAATGATAATCGTAGAGTTTAGGAGAGTCTATCTCGTGTAGATTGTAAAGATTTAAATGCAAGAGTAAAATATTTTATAAATTACACTAAAACGTCTTATTATTAAAAAAGTAAAATTATATGTGAAATTTTATTTTATAAAAATCATTATTTAAAAAAAATATTAAATTCTTTTATTTATTTTTATATTTGACTTTATCTTTTATCTGTTTGATAATTGATAATCAGAGTACACATGGTTAAGGATCACATGTAAGTTAATTTTTACTTTTATAGGTTCTTAGTTCATTCCAAAAAATTACTCTAGGATCTTTAAGATTTAAGATTCTCACCATAAAATATAATACTAATTTTAATCAATGAAAGATTCAACGAGTATCCATTCTTCAATATTTTTTATTCTTCAATATTTTTTATTCTTCAATATTTTTATTCTCTAATTCCTTTTTCCAATTTATCTATTTATCATTCTTTCTCCTTTTTTTAGAGTATTACATAAGTATTAATAACATTAACATTCAACATGTAACGATCATCAGTAGAGATAATGTCCATATTTTTTATATGGCCAACAAATAATTTTGGTTGTAACCATTTTGTTAAAGGGTCATCCATCATAAGATTAATGTTAATAGATTTTAATGATTTTAAAATTTTCATTTTAATTTTAATTTTAAATTAAATTTAATCCTAAATTAAAAAATTTTAATAAAGTTTTTATTTTAATAAAAATATCATTATAATATTTATATAAAAATGAAATATAGTTTCAATTTGCTACATTTTTTTAAAATGAAGATTGAATTTAACAAAAATAAAAAGAAACCAAATTAAATAT